ATAAAGATTTACCATTTTTTCCTATGTACTGGCTTTTGCATGACATTCAGGGGTACCCAGAGCAAAACCAGGCCATCTCTATTCTTGTAACAAGTGTTAAGAGACATGACCTCACTCTTTCTATACCTCTTTTCCTGTTTCCTTTCTCTTCTCCTTCTTTGGCCTCCGCACCTTGGCCTGGCAATACCCATATGGAATGCCTAGAGCCACTGGTGACAAACCAGCAACAAATTAAAAAGTTTGCCTACACTGTACATGTATCTATCTTCAGTGAACCAAAGGTGCTGTGGGCAGGAGCTGCCAAATTACAAATATGCACAAAGGCAAATCAGCAACGGGCCTCCGCAATAAACAAGATTAAGTTGGGATAATTTATTAAAAAAAAAAAAAGTTACATAAATTGTAGTGCAATTACAGCTAACTTGTGGAAATTCTACTTTGGGAAGATTATTCTATTAAATGCCTAACAAAGTGAAGAAAACTTTGCACTTCTTATAGAAATATAAAGAATCACTATATCTGGATGAATATCATAATATGAAAGCGCAAGGTGGGCAGCAGAAGGCTTATATTTTTATCTTCCAGTTTCTCACTGCATTGATTTTTATTTATTCCCTACTTTAATACAATCTAATAATGACTGGAAGACAAGGATTCAGGCAAAAGCTAGAAGTCTTTTCAAAGACATAAAGGATATGGATTGCACTACCTATTTTACAGCCTGTGCCCATTTTTAAATTGTAAAAGTGAAAGATGTGACTACCGTGCTGATATGAAAAGTTTAAATGTCATTTTAATGCATTTCCAAAAAAGTTTGTACTGGGCAATACACATGCATATGAAGAAGATATTTAATATTTTTGTGCAACTGAAAGAGTAATTTATATATGGGAAAACATGTTTCTGCCACCTAGCTTAAGAATATTGCCAGTATCTCTAAAACCCACAGTATATCCCTAAATGATCAAATGCCCCTTCCTCTCAAAATAACCACCAATAAGAAGTTTGTGTTGAGCCACCTGGGTGGCTCAGTTGGTTGAGTGTCTGACTCTTGATTTTGGCTAAGGTCATGACCCCAGGGTCACGGGATCGAGCCCTGTGTTGGGTTCTGCGCTGAGTGAACGGCTTGCTTAAAGTCTCTCTCTTTCCCTCTGCCCTCCCCCCAGCTTACATGCTCTCTCTCTAAAAATACAAGAAAATGAAATAAAATAAGTTTGTGTTGATTACACTCCTTACTTTTCTTTACAGATTTCCTACATGTTCATTAATAATTTTAGCCAATTCTGTAGCATTGACTAGCAGAGACTAAATATTTTATTTCATTTTGTCTGTTTCGGAACACTATATAAATTAACTTACTGTCCATTGTTGGTTTCGCCCCGAATACTACGTTTCTGAGATTCACTGATGTTGAGCCAGATAGCTGTAATCCCCTCATTTTCACTGTTGTACAGCACTACACACATAACAATGTACCCATTTTCCTTTGAAAGACATCTGAGTTATTTTTAGTTTCTTGCTAATATAAATTATGCTCCTAATAACACTGTTGTAAATGTCTCCTGGTGCACATGTATGGGAGTTTCTTTAGGATATATACACCGAGGGGTGAAACTGCAGTCACAGGGCACATGCACATTCAACAAGATAAGAATATGTCAAACCATCTTCCAAAGTGATTGTACCAATTCATACTCCCACCAATAGTCAATGATAAATGTCAATGCTGAACATCCTTATCAATATTTGGTATTGTCACTTTCTTAAATTTTTGCCTGATGGGTGTTTAAAGATATTTCATTGTGGTTTTAAATTGCATGTCCTTGATTACTAGAGGGATGCACTTTTTTATTATATAAAAATATGTATTTAAAATACACACACACACACATATATATCCACGTGTGTGTGTGTGTGTGTGTGTGTGTGTGAGCGCATCTGCCTATCAATATCCATTTGAGTTTCTTGTTCTTTATTCTGGATATTAAAGCTTTGGTGGTTATACCTGTTGTTCTGTTGCAACATCTTTTCGATTTGTGGCTTGCCTTACGTTTAATGGTATCTTTTGAGAAAAAGAAGTTCTTAATTTCAATCTAATCAAATTTATCCATGCTACTTTATAGTTGTGTTTTTGTGTTTTGTTTAAGAACACATTCTCGGGGCGCCTGGGTGGCTCAGTCGGTTGAGCGTCTGACTTCAGCTCAGGTCATGATCTCACTGTTCGTGAGTTCGAGCCCCGTGTCGGGCTCTGTGCTGACAGCTCAGAGCCTGGAGGCTGCTTTGGATTCTGTGTCTCCCTCTCTCTCTGACCCTCCCCCGTTCATTCTATGTCTCTCTCTGTCTCAAAAATAAATAAACGTTAAAAAAAAAAAAAAATGAAAAAAAAAACCAACATATTCTCCCATATATTTTTTCTAATACATTTTAAAGTCTTAGCTTTCATAAATTATGTGTTTGATCTATCTGAAATGTGAGGTAGGGATCATTTTCATTTTTTTCCCCCATAGGATAACTGGTTACCAAGCACCATTTATGGAACAGGCCACCCTTTACCAGTGATCTCCAAGGCTGTCTCTGTCATACATCAGGTTTGCCAACTAAGCGTAGATCCTAAGCACAAACTAGGGGTATCTAGTCTGGTGCACTGATCTGTCGGCTTACCCTTCTGCCAATCTAAATTGTCTTAAATACAAAAGTAGAAAAATAGTTCTGTTATCTACCAGGACATGACACCCTCTCTATCCTCTTGTTCTGTATCTTGCTACTTTTGGGCCTTTGATCTTCTACAATAATTTTAGGATCAGCTTGTTGAGTTTTGTGAAACTCTACTGGGATTTTGATTGGCATTGCATGGAATCTATAGGTTAGTTTGGGAGAATTAACATCTCTAGGATACTGAATCATCCAATCTATGAAAATGATCGTTGTACATATTTAAGCTGTACTGAATATCTTTTAACAGTTTTTTTCATTTTAAATATAAATATACATATTTTATTAGATTTCTAGGAACCTTATATTTAGGTATAGGTGTGTATATATATATATATATATATATATATATATATATATATATATAGTTATGCTATTTCAAATAGTCTGCTGGGATATAGAAATGCAGCTGTTTTCACATATAGAGCTTTTATTTCACAGCCTTGTAAACTATCTTATTAATTTCATTTTTTCTGCAAATTCTTTTGTGTATTCTGTGTAGACAACCATAAGACCCACAAAGGAAAACAGATCTTTTCCATTCCTTAAAACTATTATTTCTTTTCCTTATCTTATTGACTGGTTACGCCTTCCAGTTGAGGCGCTGTTATAAGAACAGACATCCTTAGCTTATTCCTGATTTAAAAGAAATGTTTTTAGCCCTTCAGTACCAATGAGGACAATGATGTTTATTGTAGGTAAGTCCTCTTTATCAATATTTTTAAATCTACAAACAGTAAAATTGACTCTGAGTTTTAATGCGTATATAGTTTTGCATAACTAGCACCTTGATCAGGATACAGAACTGTTCCCATCACCCTAAAAAGCTGCCCTTTAAATTAAAACCCTCCCCTAAACCCTGTGACCACAAATCAGTTCTGTCTCCATAATTTTGTCTCTTCCAGTATGTCACATAAGTGGAAGCGCAAATTATGTAATCTTTGAGCTTGACTGCTATAATATCGTGATACACAGCTGGCCCCAGACAACAAGGGTTTGAACTGTGCAGGTCCATTCATACATGGATCCTTTTTAATAAATACAGCACAGTACTTACTATAAGTGCATTTTCTTTTCCTTATCATTTCCGAAATAACATTTTTTTCCTTTCTCTCCTTTTTTTTTTTTTTTTTTAGAGAGAAAAAGCACATGTAGGAGGGGGGCAGAGGGAGACAGAGAGAAGCTTAAGCAGGCTCCATGCTCAGTGCAGAGCCCGACATGGGGCTTGACCTGAGCCAAAATCAAGAGTCAGATGCTCAACCAGTTGAGCCACCCAGGTACCCCAACAATTTCTTTTTTCTAGCTTAATTATAAGAATACAGAATGTAATACACGTAACATAAAATATGTGTTGATTGACTATGTTATCGGTAAGGCTTCTGGTCAACAGTAGGCCATTAGTAGTTGAGTTTTTGAGAAGTCAAAAGCTATACACAAATTTTTGACTATGTGAGTGGAGGGGTCAATGCCCCTAACTAGCCTCCATATTGTTTAAGAGTCAACTGTAATAAGAAACATATGTTTGATCTTTGTCCCTGGTTCTTGCCACAGGGTTACTAAAACCCTTATAATTTCCTGAGTGATGGGTGAAAGAAATTCTTTTATTATTCATAATAAGCCTCTTTCAACCATACCTGAGTTTATGCTAATAAGGCAACCCTTGAAGGATGGGGGCTGATTGCCAGAGGAACCAACTATGTCATTAGAGGTTAAACTTTCTGCCTCATCCCGACCTCCATAAAGGAGAGAGGGGCTTGAGACTGAGGTCAATCGCCAACGATTTAATCAATTACATCTACATAACGGAACCCTCATAAAAACCAAACAACAGGGTTCGGGGAGCCGCTGGATTGGCAAACACATGGAGATACTGGAAGGGTGGTGCACTCAGACAGGATATGAAATCACCACACCCCTTCCCCATACCTTACCCTACCTGTGCAGCTCTTCATCTAGCTTTTCAGTGTATCCTCTATAATACCCTTCAAACCAGTACATGCGTTTTAAGCTAGTAAATGCAAACAAATGCTTCTGTGAGTTTTGTGAGTCATTCTAGTAAATTACTGAACCTCAGGATGGGGTCATGGGATCCCCCACGGGATCCCCCTTCCTCAATTTATAGCCAGTCAGTCCGAAGTACGAATGACAACCTGGAATGTGTGACTGCATCTGAAGCAGGGTGGGAGGGGTAGTCAGTCTTGTGGCCTTGAGTCCTTAACCTGACTGCTGTCTCTTTGGGGAATCTGTGGCAGAACTCAGTTAAATTGCAGGACACCCAGAACTGGGAGAAATGGTTGGTATAGGGAAAAACCTCCACACTTTTGGCACCAGCAGTTTTGAGAATAGAGACAGTAGTGTTTTTCCTTTAGCTTCTTTCACTCAGCACAATGCCTTAGAGATACTAACACAGTAGTTTAAACCTAACAGAAAATTACAAATTTGAGTTTTATTAAGTGTTCATTCATCTGTGTTGTCTACATCCCTGAGCAGACTCAGAAATTCATCTGGGTAAATGGGAAAAGCCCAAAAGATAGTGTTATTACACTAGAACTTTACATATGTGCTCCTGCTGCTGAGAAGGCTTCTTTAGTCACTAGCATTTTTTTTTTTTTTTAACTCATTACAAGTTTGGATGCCATTTTGGTTTATAAGTGACATTCCTAACTGACTATGAGACAGAATCACAGTCTTGGAAGAATCCTTGGAGATCATCCAGGGAGGCAGTTTGGTACTGTGACAACAAGGGCTCTGGTATCATACAGACCTAGATCCTGCCTGCCATTCTTAGTTAGATTCACTTACCTTTTAACGAGTTTCAGTTTCCTTATCAGTAGAGAAAACAAACTAGGTATATTTCATTGGTTTATGAGAAAATTCAATGAGATACTCCATGTAAAATGCCCTGTGGAGTGCTACGCACACAGGCAAAGCTCCACAAAAGCAGTTGACATCATGTCTAGTACAACTCATTTTCCAGATTATGCAAATCATCGACTGAGACATGCTACTCTAATGGTTTAAATATTAAAATATTAAAACACAGTCATAACTCTGTGTAGAGGAAGATGCATATTTTGGATAACAGCTCTTAAAGGAAGCAAACAAAAATGATTTTTAATTAAACAAACATTGTATAATTCTCTATGCTAGATTATAACAATTCACCAGCCTGAGGAATGCAAGAACCACAAAAGAACACAAAAAACCTGAGATTTTTATCTTCCAAATATAGGAAAAGAAAATTATTAGAAAGAAAATGTAAGCTCATATGAAACCGTGGACAAATATTTTTAGTGTTGACAAATCACTTTCTATCAAAACCTTTAGACATTTTGTTCCTCCCACGTGCTCCCCCCCCCCCCCCCCCCCCCCCCCCGATCCACAGAGGGCAGGGGTGAAAACTGTGCTGTGAAATCAACATGTCGATATAATTATTTTAAAAATCAATGGATTTTATGTTAATAATCTAGAACAAAGAGTGAGTATACTCAAGACAACTTAATGAAAGGCTCTTTGTTTCCAAAGAGCAACTTTGTTGCCACTGACTAAATCATTTAATTTTTAAAGAAACTGTACCTCCATCAAGAGTAAGTTTTGACCGCCACTCAACAGGCAGAAATTCAACATGTGTTGCATGGTTGGAAAAATGCCTTTCTTCTATTTTTCTTGCAGCTTCTCTCATCCTAAAAAAAAAAAACAAAATAAAAACAAAACGTTATCAGAGTAACTTCTCATATGTATTTATATGGTATAAAATATCTTTAACCATACAACTTCTACTTGCTAACTTTGTCCAATTATATTTTAATTATTGTTACACTGTGCAGTATTTCACAATACTAGGAATCCCTCATTTCAAAGATATTTCCCTAAATTTGTCATCAGTGATTTCAAGTATTACAAGCTTTCACATTATATTCTAAATAATTATACATATTAATCTTCAGTAGACAGAAAGTGCAACAAATCCACCCTGTGCCATCACCCTGACCCAAATATTGTCAAGTCATGGCCTGTCTTATTTCATCTATTTCTCCACTCATTCTCCCCATAATATGAATTTTTAAATTTTATTTTCAAAATTCAGATACAGCAAAGTTGACTTTTTTCCCCTTTTGGTATCAGTTGTATAGATTTTGTGGTTAGCATCACCACAATTAAGATATAGAATAGTTCTATTATTTCTCCAAATCCCTCACACTAACTCTTTATAGCAGTGCCCTTCCCCCATAATATTTTAAAGGAAATCCCAGATATCACATCATTTCATCTGTAAACTGTTTAGTATCTATTTCTAAAACATAAGGAAAACAACCTATTCTGTACTATTATCATACCAAAACTTTTTAAAAATGTTTATTTTTGAGAGAGAGAGAGACAGAGAGTGGGGTGGGGGGAAGGGGCAGAGAGAGAGGGAGACATAGAATCCAAAGCAGACTCCAGGCTCTGAACTGTCAGCACAGAGCCCGATGCGAGGCTCAAACCCATGAACCATGAGTTCATGACCTGAGATGAAGTGGGACGCTTTACCAACTGAGCCACCCAGGCACCCCCCAAAACTAATTTTTTTAAAGTTTAATTCTTTTTGAGAGAGAAAGAAAGAAGATCCCAAGCAGGCTCTGCACCGCCAGCACCACTAGCTTGGAGCTGGATGTGGGGCTCAGACTCACAAACTGTGAGATCAATGACCCGAGTCAAAATCAAGAGTCGGATGCTTAACTGACTGAGCCACCCA